TCTCATGTGGTTAATTAATACAAAGTTTCCCTTTGTATCCTCCTCTTCTTATACTTCAGATCAACATTTTAATATACATTTAGGCCTTGGTTTTATGAACCTTCTTAAACATTTTAAGCTACTTTCTCCAGCGTTATTATTATTTCAGCCACTCATGAATCCACAAGCCAACATGTTATCAGAAGATGCTGTTCCCTAAAGAAGGATTTAGAAGCAGAAGTGGCATCCACTTTCTAAACAACATGCCTCTGGAAACTCTATGAACTTTGATAAATGTCTTTTGTTCTTAGAGTCACTATGAGTCTTGCTTAACTCAAAGACAATCAACAACAACAATAACAACAAAGAAGGATATCATGCTTGTTAAAATAGAAGGTCAGCAATAAACAACATTCTTAACAGGATAGATTGATACAATTGTGGCACCGAAACATGCAGGATCAAGCAGGGTTTTGTTCTACTGGGTTAGCACTATGAAATAGAGCTGACTTCACTGGGAGCTCTGGTGACTTAGTTCCTATGGGGTTGAGTTGCTAACGCAAAGCTTACAATTCACTGGAGGTTTAAATGCACCAATGTTTCTGTGGGAGAAAAATGGGCCATCTAATCCTGTGCAATTTATAAACTATAAGTAAAACTACTGGAGGGTGAGCTATGAGTTGGTTGTGATTCCATGGCAATTAATTAAGTTTGTTGAATAACAAGAACAAATTTGTGTGTGTCTCTCCTAATCTGAACAATGCAATATTGACCCTATGAACTTTCTATCCACCAATATTTTATTCTTTTTTGATGGCATTTATTTCAAATAATTGTTCTGTACAATATGACCTCAATTCATTGCTCTGTTAAAAAGTCCAATGTACTTTTTTCTCTTTATCCAAATATAATTGTTTTTATTGCATTTTTCTAGAAATAAGGATCCATTTCTGAAATAGATGTTGTTCTGTTTATTCTTAGTAGTTTTTCTTTCTATAACTTGATTAATATACAATATTTTCACAAAAAATTAAAAAATTACAATGGATAATGTTAAAGTTAGTGCTCTGGCATAGTGTGAAATGCTCTTTTTAGGTCTGGTAATTCAAGCATTCTTCAGCTATATTTATATATTTATTTCAAGTATTTATTTGTTTCAAGTATTGATTTCCCTGTCTGCTATATTTCTATCCACAATTCTTAGAACAACATATATGATCTGAGATATTTTGTTGATCTCTTACATATTATTTTTCCTTTTGTATAACAATTGAAGTTCTTCATAAAGGTGTGGGATATTTTCTCCAGGAAATCTTCTAAGTTGCTGATTTCATCATCTTCAGGATTTAATGCTTTTCAAGATTTCATTATATATTTGTTTCATTTGCTGTTAAATTTTTCAGAGTAGAAGTGGCATCTACTTCCTAAACAACATGCCTCTGGAAACTCTGATCTTTGGTAAATGATGATAGTTATAGAAAGGTTTCAGTTCTTTTGTTCATAGAGTCACTATGAGTTGTGCTCAACTTGACAGCAATCTAATTGACAGTTTAAATTAGAAATACTTAATGATTCTGTTTTTATTTAGAATTAAATTCTGTTTCATGACAGAGTATTTGTTTTTGTTCTTCAAGTCTCTATCTTTGTTGTAGCATAGTTAAAGAGATGTTATTACATGCTGTCAAGTTACCTGTGACTCATAGCAACCCTATGTACAATAGCACTGAACCTTTCCCTAGCCTCGGCCTGTCTCACAGACCCCAATATACCGATCCTCATTACCCCCGTAACTATGTTAATCCATCTTATCCAGGGTCTTCCTCTCCTGCATTCTCCCTTCATCTTTCCAAGCATAATAATGTCTTTTTCCAAGGACTAGCCGCTTCTGGTCACATGCCCAAGGTATGTCAGGTGAAATGTTAGTATCTTTGCCTCCAAGGAGCAACTTGATTTCATCTTCTCCAGGACCAACCTGTTTGTTCTCTTGGCAGTCCATGGTATATTCAATACTCTTCTCCACTATCACAACCCAAAGGTAACAATTTTTCTTTTATCATCTTTAGTCATTGTCCGGCTCTCTGATGCGTAGCAAGTAATTACGAAGTCCATAGACTGGATCAGGCATACCACTGCAGTGACTGTTTAACTAATTATTAGACTATACAGTGGCCAAAGTTAATGATCTAATAAATATACAGATAGCAAAATGATAAAGTAAATTTTGAAAGGCAGTCTTTTTATGTTTGTGTAAGTTGTTGTGTTGCTGTTATTTATTATTAAATCAGAAACATCTGAAGGTCCAGGGGGGTTTTAGAGGCAGTAAATCACAGAGAGGAGCAGGCTTTTCTTTCTCCTACAAAGCAACTGGTGCATTTGAATCATGTGGATTGGAAGCACTGTATTATCAGCACAACTCACTAACACGAAGCCACCAGATCTTTCTGTGTGTCTGCATGTATTGATAAGAGAATAAGTAAAAATTACAAAACCAAGAAATCAGAGTGCTTAAACCTAAGTTACCCACAGCAAATATGCAAGCATCTTGCCAACCAAGTCTAGTGTTACGTCTAGCTAACTGCAGTTGTGCCAAGAAGTTGTACTTTTTCTGGTTTTATTTTGGCACCTGGAGGTTATGCCATACTTCATAACTTCTTTAGCTTGTGTTTCCTAAATTTACCATGAATGTCCTTCTAGAAATTCAGTATTCCAGAATAAGATTTGGGAAATTTCAAAAGATTTTTGATCCATTCCTCCCATCCAGCATTTCCAATAGACCACAGCTCCTAGCATGTGCTTCTTCAAACTTTTATTATTTTATTTTGTGTTGTTGTTGTTGTGGTTGTCAGATGCTTTTGAGTTGAGTATGACTCATAGCAATCCCATGAGTAACAGATTTAAACCCTATTCTATCCTGTGCCAAGCTCACAGTTTGACACATCCAAGCATTTTTTTTTTTTAATTTAGGTTGTTTCTTTTTCATTTCAATG